AGCATCCAAAAACTATAATTGTGATCTTGTTTCCTAAAAAAGATGATGAAGAAGTACTATGCATAAAACAACAATTGAAATTACATTAATTGAGGCATTGGGAACGTTATTATAGCACTCCAAATGTTAGAAATAATGTTTGGAATGTAATTACATCATGATCATAGGCCCACATGGATTCTAGTATTATCCTTAATCTTCATTTGGTAGTAGGATGCTAGCATMYAAAAAACAATAATCTTGCTGGTCTTGTTTCCMAAAAAATGGGAAGAAGAACGCAMCTCCCCTGCTAACATYAAGTACGTTAAATTCAAGCAAAAAAAGTATTCATTTCTACACAGGCCTGCTAGGCTGTTAATATTCAGAATGTCAAATTAATCTTCCCRATGCCTCAATTAATGTAATTTCAACTGTTGTTTTATGCATAGTACAGTATTGGTGTGAGTACTACTACCATGGATGGAATGTGAATTTTGACACATTGTGYTCCCCTTCTTTAAATGAATAAAGTATGTACCGGTACTAAAAAATTTGGCACTCTAAACTTGATTTTACCTCATTGAACAGTTCTGTACTACATACTACATATAATACATGTGGTATGAATAGTGGGCCATTCCTGTTAATCTAGACAATCAAAATGTCTAAAAGTCTACTTTATATTTTCTAGTTGAACAGGAATCATTTAAAACAGGGTCCCAATGGCAATTTTTTTGGCACTCTTCTACTCTTAAGAAGGGAATTTGGAATCTCAACTGAAATTACTGAAGACTGAAAAAGCATGCCTGCTCTATTTTGGGTACTAAATAAACAGAAAATTTTTGAGTAGACTACTTCTGCTCCTAGTGAAAGAAACAAGGAATTTTTGATACTTCTCATRAAGTTCCCTGTTGCATGACTATCCTAAATATTAGACCATAGTTCCCTTCCAGCAAACCAAAGGGACATAATTGGTGTTGTTGAGACCCTTTGCACATACTTGGTGACCAAGAGAAGGAATGGCTTGGTGCTGGAGGACTGGGAAGGGAAAAAAAGACCCCAGTAGTAGAGGAGAGGCGTAGAAGGGACAGAAGAAAGCCCAAGATTGCAATTCGAAGATATGAAGACTCCCCCTTTTGTCTTCCTCTTCCAGTCAGGGGATGACCAAGCACTCTCCTTAACGGTTGTCGCATACTAGACCACAGTATCTTCAGAGATCTCCTTGAGCTTTTGTTAGTCAAGCTTTCAATAGATACATAGTTGACAAGAACAATGAGATTGTTCTACTTCCTCTTCCCACTAACCCCAACCCCAACTTGCCATRATCAGTCTGCCAAGTGAGCAAGAAATCAATGAGTCAAAAATGTTAGAGCAATTGGAGCAAAATATCCAAGACTTGAAGAACAACACATTTGGKGAGCAGCAGATGGACTCAAAATTGAGATCCAGTCTTCAGAGGAATGGCTCAAACAAGAGATCTTCTGTAATGAATGGAAGGCAAATACTTATGTGAATGACRTATATGCCTTTGCATCTGATGGGAGGATCTGTATTGGGTGCTTCRATTGCCCAGGCAAGTGGCATGATAGTGCCATTAGTGACTATGATGGAGTGTATGACAAGATGGCCCCTGGAGGAGCAAAGGTTGTTGTTGATTCAGCTTTTGGCTTGCTTGACAGGGACTTCCTCATTCAGAGTTCACAGACAGATCTTGAGGATGAAGACAGTCTCCTATTGAATGGGGATGCCATATTGCTAATACAAATGTCTGAGTGGGGTATGACGATGATCCAAGGACAGTTCCCCAGGATGAAAGATAGGCTTTGATTGGAGGACTRTGGAGAGAGGAAGATTATTCTCCACTTGCTCATCAACTTGTACAAGACCAGTCTAGTAGTAACATCGGACACAATCACATCTTGGMAGCTTTCATGCATACACCACCAGCAAGACAAGAGGATGTCAGGATGCGCCACCGCCTTGAGAGCTTTGCTGCAGGGATCTTCCATCTAGGAATGGAGCTGTCTCCATTTGGCAACTAGGCATTCTGTCAGTGAATCCCATGGTAGGGTGGTGGTTCCTTGGTTGTGGTGGTGGTTATCATTAGTAGATTGGAAACAACTTGCAAGTGAGGAGAACATGACACAACAATTTGACAAATCAATTTAATGCAACGCAATGATTCAAGATTCAATGCAACAGTTCAACACAACGCAACGCAACAACAATTCAATACAACAACAACACCAGAGCAATACTTACACCAGTGGAGGAAGGGATGGTTAGTTTGGACGAGGCTTGTTAGGTGAAAGCACAGCTTTCAAGAGCTACTAGTACTTTTTAAATCTGYTGTTCCTAGACATCACAAAAAGTGTTTGTGAGGTTTGGTTGCAACCCCACACGGTTAGCTTTTGTGTGCTTACTTAACACAGTGAAGTTATGATTATCAAGCTTACTGAGGATGCCTTTTTGTGATTATTTTTGCAACACAATGTGTTTCACTCTGCGCACCAAATTATTCTGCCATATTTCAGCCCATAGTACTTGCTCAAACACTGCTCAATATTTTTACTTTAGTAGGGGGTCGTGATACACAACCTCAACAGTTACGATGACAGTAATCTACAACTACAACTCTTGGAATTRAAACTCAAGATTCACACATGTAAATAGTATCACTCTCAAATAACCTTGGTGGAATCACTATTGTGGAACAATGATTCCCCTACCATATGGTTTCCAATTTATGAAACAGCTGGCTCCATTGCTACCTCACAGATGAGAAAATACATGACTAACTGTGTTACTATTATGTAGTATGATGCATGGATTCTACAAGTGCTTTTATGCAATACTAAACTTCTTCCACAACCGTCCCCACTTCTCCCACAATTAAATTGTTTTGGACACAATTTACAGGCTCATCCATTGGTTTTCTGAACCTTTTGCAAACATAAATGTTGTCCATCTTGGTGATGTCAACCCTGGGTTCTGAGTCAGTTGGTATGATAACTCTACCATTCTTCCTTGTGCACTCCTCCCTGGTGAACTGTTCTCTCATCTATTTTTTGAACAGCTCTCTTGTTTGAGGGTCCTTTTGGAGATCCTTAATCTCAGCGCACAGCATGTGGTACAGAAACTTCTCCTCTGGAGCCCATCTGTCTCTCCTTCTGCTTTTTGCACCACAGAATCTCTTCAGCTCCAATTTCACCGACCTGTCTTTCTTTCTCAGGAGGGAGGACTCACACACACAAAGTTCATTGTAAAGCATTAGGAGTGSAAAGGCCTTGTCCTTCACACTGAAAATCTTACTGAGCAAATGCTCCGTCCCTTTCTTATTTCTGTTGAAATTGTTATTCCTAGTGTTAACAGATGCCATGATTCTTGTAACAAAAAAATAACACTTAAGATTGTCTGCACTACCATATGCCCTCTAGAGTGAGTGTAGAATCTTCTTCCCTTTATCCTTGGAGTCCCAATCAGAAATGCCCACTGTTCCTGGAAATCTGGCTGGGACGTTTCCCTTTTCACTGTCATCTGTTGTTATGGCTCAAGAAAGGAAAATGGACATGTCCRCAGTTAGACCATTAGTGGGGAAGCACATTTATCAGCAGACAATTCTTATAATGGTACCCACCAAGCCATTTTTTGCTGCATTAATCTGAGTGGTGTTGTGTCGTATTTTGTTCAGCACTTGCAGTAGCAGGGTGTTCTGCAAGTAGAGACAAAGTACGTCATCACCACTGAAGAACCCCTGACAGCTGCTAACACAACCTTCCATGATAGTAGCCTGTTGACACACATATTTGTTGATCTTATTGGTCATCAAAAATTTCATATCCCAGAAAAACTTGGATTCAATGTACCTTTGAAAATTTCTTGTGAGCAAATGCTTGTTCAATTTTGATATTTTCTTGCTAGGGACAACTGCTGGTTCTCCATTTTTTTCATACTAGTAGTACTGTTTTTTTTAAGGATTAGAACTCACTGTATGCCTCTTAAACACTTGCAATCACACAAACCAGGGTTTGCTTTGATGTCCCAATTGGCATTGCATGCATTGCTTTCTCTTAATGCTTRAAGTATATCACATTTGCTTTGTCTTAATGCATACAAGAATATTTATCTTCAATAGTATATTCATAGATSTCAACAACTCCTGTAAAGGGTAGTACTATGCAGGAAAACCAATACTGCTAGTAACAACGCAGAATACCACAGCAAAATTTCAAATAACACAGTTGTACTTTGCTACTGCCTTTTGCTCCTTGCTTTGTGTTTGCTTCACTATTCYGCTGTCTGTTTACTTTATTTAATTTGGAGTAAATATATGAATCAATTGCTATTGCTATCACCATGGGATTCACCACAGTGGCGCTTGTCGTGGTGGGCTGTGCTCTTGATGTTGTAGTGTGCTGTGCCCCCAGGGAGCGCCATTGCCATTGTTGAAGCAAAGGTTTGAGCCAAGGTAAGGAGCCACTGATCATTTTTCTTTTCAGCCCTGAGAGCTCTTACCTCCTCGTCACTCTCATCAGCCTTCCTGTCTCTTTCAGCATCTCTCTTGTCCTGCTGCAAGAGATACTGTTGCAGAACTTCATCCTGTTCAGCAATTTCCTTCTTCAGYCTTCCATAGGATCTCTGTTTTGCTGAGTTGACAGCACCAGCCAGTTACCACAATGGAAGGATCCTTGTCAACATTGGACATGTCAGAAGTCAATGCTGTGCTGTTTGATTTTGAAGATGAAGCCTTCTCCAAGACCTCAACATCCTCATCATTRATGTAACCTTTTACTGGATCAGAGGTTTCCTCTCCAGTCACCTTTACCAATGGGGGGGATCTCCTTGATGAGGGTCATCAACAAGAAAAGCTCTTCTTCTGAGTAGTTTGCAGTACCACCAGCCTTACAGCCCAACCCATCTACTACTTTTGGCCACCCTCCTAGGGGAGAGACTGGGGCTGGGGGAGACATTTGATCCCTGTCACTAGGAGGAGGAGGAGTAGAGGAACCAGTCATCTTTGCTGCTGGTGCTGGGGGAATGAAGATATTGTGTGAGGAATYCCCCCCTTGTTGTCTTGTCAAGGAGTGGTGCTGGAGACAACAAGACTTCCAGCAGTTGCACCTCTCTTTTGTTTAAATCTAAGATAGAGGCAGTACTAGTACTAGTGGTGACTACTAAGACAGGGGAAATCCTTGTTTTTGCTCTTTCTTTGTGACAGCGCCAGCACCTTCTTTTAAGAGACAACTATTRGCTACTAGTAACAGATGTAATTTGGTGGGCCTTTTCAGTTGAGTTGGCTACGGTGCACTGGACTTCATTATTTAGTGTACAGAAGCCACCAGTAACCTTGAAGAATTCTTACAGCCCTGGACTTACTGAGGAAACGAAAAGAAACTTTTTTTGTGTGGATTTGTGTAAACCCTGCTGGTATACCATTTTTTGCAAATAAATTAGTACCTTGACCAAAAATAGATTATTCATTTTTAACTTAAACATTCAGTCATTATTGTGACAACAAGTCATTCTTGTTCTAGTAGCAATAACTTACTACTAGTAGTTTTTGCACCACTGTAGTAAGTATTTTGCATTAGCGAGCCAATCTTTCAAGGGATTTTCATTCTTGGATTCCAGTCTAGATTAAGATCTTCTGTCAAGGCTGGATTGAGCTTTGACAGACAGACAAAAAAATTGCCTAGATACTACTACTAATCTATTTTTGGTCTGTCTGGTGTCTGTCAAAAAGAAGTAGATCGTCTAGATTTATGGGAATGACCCATCAATGGGTCATTCCCGATACTAGTCTAGATGGTCTAAAATTCTAAATGGTCTAGTTTAGACTTTTTAGTTTAAYGGGAATMATTRAAAACAGGGTCCCAACGGACAGTTCTTTAGGCCCTCTTCTACTTTAATGGAATCCGGAATCTCAACAGAAATGACTACTAGTAAGACTGGTGGATTCAAAACTACTACTACTAAAACTAGAAAAGGGCGCACGCAACGAATTTTTATTGGATAATAATCAGTCATGCGACGGATTTTCATTCTTGGATTCCGGTCTAGATTTAGACTTTCTGTAAGGCCGGGAGTGGAGCGTTGACAGAAAGTCTAAAAATGAAGACTAGATGGTCTATTTTTCGTCTGTCTGTCTTCCAAAAAGTAGGCCGTCTAGACTAACGGGAATGACCCAATATCTTGTTTGATAAGATATGATGAGATTTTAGATTTTCCTACCTATGCACTTCGAGTTCGGGGGTAGTACTGTTAACAGGTACGAACTCGTATTGTCTCAGATCCCAAAACCAATCTGTTGTTCGATTCCCATTTAGATCCATCGGTATGAGTAGCCAAGGAAGAACCGCAGTGAGGCGGATAGGTCTAGCTATATTCGGTCTYCCCCCCCTGCTAGTCATCCCGGCAGCCGCCATTTACAGGGAAAATCACAGGCCGAAATTCCCGCAGCAATACAAGCTGCAAAATCTAAATGGGAAGACKGTGGTGGCAACCGGCGCTTCTTCTGGGATCGGCAAAGCCGCTGTCGAAACACTTAAAAATCTAGGAGCAACCGTTGTATCAGGAAGCAGGTCGGAGGGGAATCTCGATCTATCGGACCTTTCGAGCGTGAAACGATTTGCCAGGACTATCGATGAATGCGACGTTGTCCTAGCCTGTGCAGCGGAGATATACWCGRAAAAGGGGGTGACGAGCGTGGATGGATTTGATAAGGCATTTGCGACGAACCACATCGGTCTRCAGGCTCTGTTGATGGAGCTAGGCAAAARGAAATTGAAACCTGCTAGGGTGGTTGTTTTGGGCAGTAAGCTCGAGCGCAACGGTCTCGTCGACCCGGAAATAGTTTTGAGGGAACACGGGAAGAGACTGAACGACAGGCCCATCGAAGACCAGAGCGGTGTCAAACTCTACAGCGATACGAAACTCTGCAATCAGATGCTGGTAACAACACTGGTGGATAARTGGCCAGAAACGAAGGTCTTTAGTGTATCGCCGGGAATGGTGAATACCGGATTGTGGCGAAACTTTCCGGCATGGTTTCAGGTTTTGACGTGGCCTGTTCGCACMGTGGCACTGAGAACGCCGGAGGACGCGGCACTCGGAGTAGTCTATGCTTGTGCTAGCGAAGAAGCGGGAAACGAAAGGAGTGGGGCCTTCTTTGTGGACGGCAGTGTTGAGCAACCAAGCGAAGAAAGCAGAGATTCCGTGAAGGCCAACAGGCTCTGGGAGGTTGTCGAGAATTTAAYAAGAGATCCACCACGAACATGAAGCAAGTTCATCTCAAAACTTCTAGCTACAATGGTCGCATGAAGTAGATGCATAAACAAAAATTTTGGATTTATTTGATCGCGTTGGCCCAGCATTTGGAGCAAAACTGAAACCTTGGATAGCTGATGAAATGGAACACTTACTCCTCAAAACGGTC